ACTCCAGGTCCTACGCTGGGATCCCGTGGGCAGAGAGGTCACCCAAGGCCTCACCTCTGCTCACTCACTCACGTGTCTCTCCCATCCACTCGCCCATTCAGGCTTCCCCTGGAACTGTCAAACTTCTTAGCTGGTCCTTCTGTTTGTCCCCCCACCAACCAACCAACTGCCCTACTGTCTACCCATCACTTAATGAGTACATGGCTGAGGCAGCAGGAGGCCTCACAGGCCACCAGACCCTTCCCTTATCACTACCCGGCCCGGCGGGTCCCAGCTGAGAGGCAAAAAACATGATTTTTCAACTTGAGAAGGCACCCAGACTCACACGTAAGAAATGCATATGAGCCCTAGCCGGTTTGGCTCAGTGGGTAGAGCGTAGGCCTGCGGACTGAAGCCGGGTTTGATTCCGGTCAAGGGCATGTATCTCGGTTGCAGGCTCCTCTCTGGCCCTGGGCCCTGGTCAGGGCGTGTGCAGGAGGCAACCAATGGATCAATCAATGTGTTTCTTACTTCAATATTTCTCTCTCTCTAAAAAATCAATGGAAAAATATTCTCAGGTGAGGATTAAACAAAGCGAAACAAAACCCCAAACACAGCAACAAAAATAAATGCGTATGAAAACTAGAAAACAACATGTTCAGCTCCAAGATGGGCAGGCAGAGAAGTATGTGGGGGGGGGGGGGGGGGGGGGGGGGGGGGGGAGGAACCTGTCCTCCCGTGTTGGTGGGACAGTTACCACTTTGTAGGCAACTTGAAAAAAAAAAAAAAAAAAAAAAAGACAAAATTAAAAATGCCTCTGTCCCTGGATAAATTCACTTCTAGGACTTTATTCCATGGATGCAAATGCAACTCCCCCCCCCCCTCCCCGCCCTGAGGCTGGTGAGCAAAACCACCTCGATGTCTGTCAGTCAGGGCCTGGTCACCTGGGTGACGGTGCATCAGTTGCTGGCACCCCCGCGGGGTCCTGTGAGGGAAGAGCAAAGTGGAGGCCACATCCCCAATTATGTTTGTTTTTAAAAGTGGGTGGGAGGAAAGGAGAGTTGGGGAGAGCCCCCCACCCACAGGGGCTTGGAAAGGATGGGGTCATAAGCAGGAGGGTCATAAGCATTCTATTCCCATTCTACTGTTTGAAGTTCTCTCTAGGTTCATGGATTCTCTATTTAGTGAAAATGAAAATGGGCTCTGCAGCTCAGATTTGCCCATTGGAGTGTCAGGGGCAGATTCATTTGAACAGGGGCTGTGATGTGGTCTCTGTTCTTCATCACCAGTGTGGCCGCCACTGCTCTTATCCCCACTGACAAATACACCTGCTTCTCCCAAACTCTAACATGGACACCCACATCTTAATCCAGAATTGGGATGTTTCTTAAAATCGCATGTCTTGCCTGGCCGGTGTGGCTCGATGGTTAAGCACTGACCTATGAACGAGGAGGTCAAGGTTCAATTCCCAGTTAGAGCATATGCCAAGGTTGCAGGCTTGATCCCCATTGTGGGGTGTTCAGGAGGCAACCGATCAATGATTCTCTCACATCATTGATGTTTCGGTCTCCCTCTCCCTTTCCCTCTGAAGTCAATTTTTTAAAAATCGCATGTGTTACACTTAAAACTGGCAGCATTTTTTCTTGGTGGCACGTAAGGTGCCTCTCCCAGAGGACAGGCTGCAGACTCCGTGAAATGTGGGTGTCTCCTCTGGCACCTCCCATCTGTGCCGAAGGTGATGCTGCTGTGCTCCGCGGACCCACAGCTTGTCCCTGCGCAGAGCGTCCCGGACCACAGGCTCCGAGAGGTCAAAGGCTGCCATGATGGTCTCAACGGTGGCCAGCGAGCAGTGACAGCACTTTGTTCTGCACAGGGAATGAGGAGGTGTGTCCCACAGTTGTGTGGCTTGCTCTTTATTGTTGACACGAACTTTGGGAGATTCTACATAAAAATTCACATTCACGGCTTCTCTTGGCAAGATCTGGCTTTCGTTGAGCCCATGTCCCTGGCACTGAGTAGCGCCTTCACACCACCTGTTATCAGTCACACACCAGAACCTCAAAGAGGCAGCCCATGTTCCCGGGGACGGGACCAGCAGCAGCAGCGACGTTGCCTCTAGCACTAAGATCCTCCTCCCCAGGTCACTGCAGCCAGCGTGCAGCAGCTCTGAGAACAGCAGGTGATCTCCTGTAATGCTCACACAGCGTCACTCAGCAAAGAGCTATGCAAGCTGCCCTTCCTCACAATTCCTTCTGCTAATGCCATGTCCTGAGTCCTTCCACTGGGCTCTGTGATGAGGGAATAACATGACCGAGGGGCCACTTACTCCCCAAGGGGGAGGGTAAAAGGGCAAGGGGCCAAGCAGAAACCTGCCGGCAGCTGGAGGATCCCACAAGGCAGGGTCTACGCCAGGGGTGGGGAACGCCCGGCCCTCAGGCTATATAAGGCCTGTGAAATCATTTGGTCTGGCCCTGCCAAGGCATGAAGGGTGAGTTAATTAAATGTTTGACCAAATATAGCAGGCTAGTTTTTAAGTTGATAACTTCTATGGCCTGCGAATGTTATAAATATCCAAGTGGCCCTTGGCAGAAAAAAGGTTCCCCACCCCTGCTCTACACCATCCACAACTGGGGAAGCTGTGGATCCCTCACCCAAAGGGCCCAGGCGCTTTCTGGGCAGAGACACAGCTCAAGGGATCTGCCCTCACCTCAAGATTGTGGTCAGAGGTCATGGGAGACCGATCACTCGTTTCAGGAACAAAGACCTGGCATAAGCTGGGAACTGGAGTGTTCCAGGGAGGCCACCTGTTTCTTCTCTGTCCTACGTTTAGGCCTAAACTCCAGCCATAAACTTGACCACCTGTGAACCCACCAGTGACAATAAAGAGCAAGTCACACGACTATAGGGCACACCACCACAGCTTGAGGTTTCAAGCAGTTGTCACAGGAAGTCCTAGTTGGGCTCCTGAAGCTCTGAGCCCAGGATCCTGAAGCCTACCAAGCAGGCAAAAGGGAGACACTAGGACTTCAGACGGGACTTGTTTCCTCGCTGGAGGTCACTCAGCACAGAAGAGGCGCCATCTTTAGATTTAGCCCTGAACTGGCTTTGGGGCTTTCCAGCAGCGTTTTGAAATACTTTTAGAAGCTGTCCTTCCTCCCTTTGGAGAGTTGACTGAGGGCACAGAACCACAATGTCCCTGGCCCAGTCCTCTTTCAGGGAAGCTGAAAGGCAGCAATTCACTCCAGAGAGCTGATAGAGGGCCGAAGGGCAGAAACTGGGCAGTCCTTTCTTGGAGGGTGGCCCACTAGGAGACAATCTGGCTCTTTCCAGACAGCCAGGTTCTGACATCGGAGCTGACCCCAACAGCCACAAGGGAATGGCCTGGCTCCTACCACAGGACACCAAGGGCGTGCCTGCTGGCGGTTGGTACCACAGCAGGAAGTTCAAATCCTGGGTAAAAACAGCCACAGATGTTTCCACCCCTCACACAGTGAATGGTTGACAAATTGTCAACCATCAGATCAAGAGTGTCTTTTCATAGACTAGAAAAACGTGTGAAAAATCCTTACTCAAATCCCCCCCGCTCGCCTCTAAGACTAAATGCAGTCAATATATAGCTTCTGGTGGAGAATAGTTAGAGTCCCACAAAGCTACTAAATCAAGGGATGCCACCCTCTCTGCCCTGGCTGGTGTGGCTACATGGTTGGAACATCGTGCTACGTATGGAAGGGTCTTGGGTTCAATTCCCGGTCAAAGGCATGGACCTGGGTTGTGGGTTCACTCCCACCCGCAGCTGGGGTGCATGTGGGAGGCAACAAATTGATGTTTCTCTCTTCCCCTCTTTCCTTCCCTCCCACTCTCTCTCTCTGAAAAGCAATGGAAAAAAATATCCTTGGGTGAGGATTAACAACAAAAAACAAACAAAAAAAAAATGCCACCCCGTTTGCTTACTACAATCTTTTAGGACAAAGGTTGGCAAACTAAGTCCACAGGTCACACCTGGCTCACTGCCTGTATTTGTATGACCCCCTCGAATGAAGAATGATGAACATCTGCAACTGATTTGGTAATAGGGAATACAAACTTTATATTCCAACTAAGCAAAATGTTCTCCTCTAAAAAAAGAATTCTCACTACAAAAAAACTATACTCCATTATTATATTTTGAATTTCATCAATAAAAAAATTTGTGGAAATTTGTTTTCTCTCATTACATAAATACATAATATTTTCGATCTTGCCTCTTGGCCCACGAAGCCTAAATATTTACTAACTTAGGCCCTTTGTAGAAAAAGTTTGCCAGCCCCAGCATTAGGAGGCCTACTGGAATCCCAAAGCATCTAACACATGACTAGTGAATGCTGATCCTGTTATTTGCCAAGAGGAAGAAGAGCAGAGCTTCTTAAATATTAACGCACACTTTTTTTTATTATATTAAAATCAGGCAATGGTCTGACAATAAAAAGGCTGCTTATGGAATACTGTTATGTTAAACTTTACTTACAGGATGTTAAATCCTTACAACTAAGGTTTTCCCCAGAAAAAGATTAATGAAAACATCAATTGCTTTTCAGACTTGATAGTTGCTGCTTCGAAAGGTGGTTTTATACAAATACTAAATTACAAAAAAAAAAAAAAATATCCTTTATAACACAATGAATCACTTTATTTCGGTATGCATCCACATCTCAGCAATTAGTGGTCCTGAACAGAAAAGTGGAAAAACGCAGCCATTTGCCAAGGAGCTACAGAGAGATCTGCAGATTCCTCTTCCTTGTTTGGGGTTTGGAGGTGCTCAGATGAAGCCCAGCTGTGAAGCAGTGCAAGCTGCTATGGGGCCTTGGGCCTTCTTTTGGATGTTCTGGGTCTCTCTGACCCAACTGCAGATTGTTAGGTAATTTTAGATCTCAAAGGGCCAGCCCATTCATATGCAAAAGCCTCTCGTGGAGTTCTTTCTTAATCCCTGCTGAGGACCATGAGAAGCTGCAGCACCAAAACTAAAGTATGCACCGAATTCAAGGTTTTGTTCCAGTTGTCAGATTCCAAACTAGACCCAAATGGATTGCAAAGATGACCAAATGAGAGCTCTGTTTAAAACTTCAATTTGTAAAAGCAAAAGCAATGATAGGAACAACAACAAAATTCATTCAGAGGGATCATATGTGCTTACAAGTGTCTTCTGTGGCCTTCCTGAGCTTAACAAACAAACCTATCAGCTGATGATGACAGCAGAGCGAGGCAGGGCTGCGGACCCAATTTTCATTTCCTGGGCTGCTGGAGAATAAATGAATGTGGTTCCAAAACTAAACGAGGGAGGTCAGAGACTCTTTCCAACCTTACCTGATGGCTTCTGGCCAAAGCAGGGGAGTGTCATGGAAAGTGTTGGGTGGTGGTGGTGCAAGAAAGGGACCTGAAGAGGAGGAAGGAGGAAGCAGCACCCCTCGATATAAAGGTGGTGGGGGAAGTTATGGGGAAAGCCCTGAATTCCTCACCAAAGGCCAATTTCGGAGGGGAGCAGAGGGGGTTACAATCTATGCTTCCGCCAAGGGTGGTAGTAGAGTGGGGAAAGGATGGTGGCTCAGAAGGGGAAGGGGCATCATTTAAGACTTAAAAAGAAACCAGGGGTGCAAAGGAAGCACCCCCACACACCCAGCAGTAGTCCCACAGGCTGTGACCTGAAACCTTCACACCTACTCTAACAAGCCACCCCAAGCTGGAGGGCTGTTGCAGGGAGGAAGGGGGAGGGGGGAGGAGATGGAGAAGGCAGAGCCCCCAGGCCATGTAATCAGCAGCAAGGTGACTGTGTGATGTGTCTTTTCACAGTTGAGTTAGATGTGCCCCACCAGTTATGATGGGAATCAATTTAAATATACTTTCTTGATCCCAGAAGTTCAACTATGTGGACAGTGGTTACACTTGACAGGATGATTTGTTATAGCACAACTTATATATTTCAAATGGACAAAAAATTAGTATCATTTACAGTATCTTAAGATAAACTGCCTTTGAGCGGGAGCTTCCTTTCCAGTACTTTGAGGTCTACAAGACGTATCTAGAAAATGTACTACTGTGGAAAATGAAGACTGCTTAAATCGAGTGGGGGAGGGGCGGGCCTGTGGCTTCCTTGTTGATTAGTTGCTGTAACACTGTCCTTCAGGTGGCTGAGGGAGTTTCATATTTTCTTTAGACATCATTAGGCGCCGAAGCTCCTGCAGGACAACTTTGATACTATATGAATTCTGCCATTTCGCTAGCACTGATATGGCTCTTGGGTCCACCTATAAAAAGGCAAATAAAAACAAATTACTGCTGGGCTCTCAAACAAAAGAACTGTTGTACACTGGAGTTAACCTACAGTATAAATTTGAGTAAAATGCATTTTTTTAAGTTGAACACGCTGATCATACAATATCTGACATGCAGAATACCTGCAAGATCCCTCCCACCAGTCTGTTTTCCCTTTTTATGTCCCAAACCCTCACTGTTTGGGAGAAGGAAATTACGGGTAAGTAAAGCCACCTTTAGAGAAATGGCCTGATACTCGGCGAGACTCAACCCAACCAGCTCTAAAACAATGACCTGCTTCTGGGCGGGCTGCTGCCGCTGCCGCTGCTCAGGGCTTGTCCTTTTTCGACTCTACACCCAGGTGGTGGATGATAAAGATGTGCAGGGCAGTCGGAAGAGCAAAGACAACGGGTGGCCTGGACCCAAGCTCTAGTGACAAGGGCCTGCCTCAGAGTCATAATCTCTCAAGTTAACGCAGCATTCCCTAAAAGAAATTTCCCAAAGCATGGGTCAAGTTCTGGTTCTGGACTTTAGGTGGAACTTGGATACAACATTAAACACTGAACACACAGTACAAGGCTCACATCTTTTCAACCCCTCCCCGCCCCCCTCAAATCTTTGGAATACCTCAAAATTAAGGCTTAGCTCACGTGATGTTAACTCATGCCATACCCTCGAACACCTGCTGATCTCCCCTTTGAACAAGAGAGCAGGCCTCAAAGGCTCCAAGCCCTTGGCAAAGAACATAAGGAGGAAAAATTTATTAACTTTGCTTTGGTTTTGTAGTATTTCTTGTTGCCATTACTGCCTTATGGCAAGTGAGACTGGTTTTCATTTATGGTAGTAAAAATAAGTTAAAGAAAGCAAGGACATTAAAAAAAAATTATATACCAGTGATCCACAAATTAGGCCAAAGTGTGACCCTGAACAAGATCTTTCACCTCTGTGCCTCAGTGTCCTCATTTCTACCTCATAGGGGTATAGCATGAGGACTGATGAGCTCATATATCAAAGTGACGAGCACAGTGCCGGCTCAGATGCGTGACCCCACCCCAAATGTTCATACTACAATATACGTTATCATCACATAACCAATGAACACATGGGATCAGGCCTAAAAGTACAAGGCATTTCTCAATCCTGGGAAACAAGTAGAGGCAGAAAAAACAACTTACCGCTCCATTAGAACTATTAACTCCATTCATATTAATTTTTGTTACAAATCTTACAAAGGGGGGTGCTTCTGGGTATTTAGGTCCACATTCTATTTTAAGGCTGTATATTCGGTTTTCATAAATTGTCTGGAAAAGAAGGGTAGAGATGTCAGGCAATTACAGAGAATTCAACAAAAAGGCACACCTTCTGAAAGCCCAATACCCGCGACTGCAGAACAGGTGCATCTGCTTCCATTATGCAGTCTACCTGCTATTTGAAATGTCAGTGGTAACTAGTCCCTACACTAGTGTTTGTGTATTCTGGCCTTGGGGAAAAGTTAGCACCATTACATTTTTTTTTAAAATCCTCACCCAAGGACATGCTTAGAGAATGGGAGGGAGGGAGGGACACTGATCAGTTGCCTTCTGTACATGCCCTGAGTGGGGGTTAAACTTGCAATCCAGGTATGTGCCCGACCAGGAATTGAGCCGGCAGCCTTTTGATGACTCAACCAACTGAGCCACTCCAGCCGGGAACTAAAGTTTTAAGTGAGTATTATTAAGTCCAATCAGGTGGACCTGTTTTTATGTTAATTTTTCTACTTTGCAGAGCTGCCCTACACTCTGGGGATGGTGTGTTAAGAGTATTCTCTATTCTGGGAAGCCACACTCTATGTCTATCCACTCCAGGATCATAGCCAATGCATTAAGTGTCAATATGTCCAAAGCACAGAACAGGCATCTCCTCTTTACAGAACTTCAAAAATTAAGCAGAAGATAGGGGTGGGGATGCAGATGGGTACAGATATGAGAGCTGCTTCCCCACTTCATCATCACTCTGGGGCTGTGCACTGCACAAGGGATCTCAGCGGGCAGGTACCAACCCTCCCTTGCTATTTTTACAATGGCCCAAGAGATTACCAGTCTTTAGCGTATGTGTGTGT